ATAGTTGTATTGTAGTCTACCCTTGTTGTACTATTTAAAAGGACTGTCATGTAATTTCTATGGTATAAAGTACCATTGGTTGCATTCATATTTCTGGCCACCTGATGAATTTTGTCCAATATTCACCCACTTGTCTCTTGGCATCGGAAATGTAGCATAAACTTTAAATAGCTTGACTCTATTGGTAGATTGAGGAACTAAAACAAGAACCTTAAACATGACAAAACATGCCAGAGACGTAGCTGGTTTATTCTAATATTCTGGCACCGCTCATGGTGACATTTGACATGTCGGCTAGTGCCGTTAAAGGCTGCGTAAAACAGCGCCCCTCTGGATCGCAATTGGGCTGCGATAGAGGTAGCTTAGCTAGCTAGTGTTAATCATTTCAAGTGACTAGCTAACAGCGGGTGCTGCCGTGAGCCGCCCCAAAGCACTCACAGGCGGTTACTCTCACAGCAGCCTCGCGCAGCAGTCCCAGCTGCAGTCAGAGAGGAGACACACTGTCAGCGTATTCATGTATCTGCACTCTGCAGTTAGTGTATTTATAGGTGTTGAGCTTCATTTTTACACGAAACAAATAATAACCGTAGCTGTGGCGTCATGAGATGCTTCAGCTGCAGGACAGCAGTGAAGGCCCAGGTATAAAATGCACGGCCCGCTACTATTTTTGTAAGACTAAACATTGGTAAATGTTAGCGATATACTAGCACTGAGATTTGAAAGGAGGCCTATAGCTACTCCCGAAATGGACCCGAGGACGAAGTTGGCGGACATGTGAGAGATGGACAATGTCAGTTGAGTTGTCTGTGGTGAAATACCTCAAGCCCAGTGGGGATGTATTATGGTATGTATTAAGTAATGTGTGTGTCAGAATGGAGATACCGATGTTAGTGAACACACACTCGGCATCATGAACAGGGCTTGCCAAGGTGTTGGACACATTTGGAATCCATTATTTCACATCAGTGGTTGTCACCATTAGTTTGTTATTGTTTATAGTCCGTGCAGAGGTCTAATAGTAGTCACTTGTTTGAATGTTTTCATCCTTGACTCGGTTTTAAGATGGGCTGTGTAATCGATGGCCGTGAGAGTGAAAATTGGTTTTAATGAGTTATTAGTAATAAAAAAAATGCTTTTTTGCATTCCATGTCATGTGTATTTGACACATATACCTTGAACATGATTTTGAAAGTATTCTGTGAATGTAAAACATATTTCACTACTGCCTAATACTTCATATATAAGAGCACAAGAAGCTGGATAATAGACATTATGTCATATCCTTATGTAACTTTGTGATCTGTTGACATATATGTCACGACCCGGCTCAAAAAGTCGTAACATGAGGGAGACAAGACGAGTGATAAAAGTAATAAATAGACATTTATTTAACGTACAACTAACTAAACCTAACTAACTAAACAAACAATCAAATCAAGGCAGCAGCCAGCCAGGTCCTCCACACAGGAGTCAGAGAGGAGAGGCGCAGCGAGGGACCACATCCTAAGAAGAGGGGCAGCCTTTATAGCTGGGACCAACCCAGCAGGCTCAGGTGGGGCTCGTTAGCTGCCGATCAACATCCTGCAAGACAATCTGAGAGGAAACAGACACAGACCCCTGGTGGAAAGGAGGGGTCGTGACATATCATGCATTTCATACAGAAGTTTCACTCGGCTTTCTTTTGAATGAACAAGTTTGTGATAACCAGTCTATACTGAAGTCACCTAAAAAAAACAAAAAGCTTTCTCTGTCATGATCAGAAGACCTCTGCAGTTTTAAACACAAGTCCTCTAAATATTGAATATCTACTTCAAGAGGTATATAACCACATCCTAAAAGAAATGGTCTGGTATGAGGTAAATTCATCAATATCCAAAGCATCTCAATAAATGGATTCATGAGGTCGTCTCTCAATTCAGTATGCTATATGATTTAGAATATATATTGCAAAGCCACAGACAGCTAATTATATCTATTCTATGAACACTGCAATTTCATTACCATCTACCGATGTATCTAAACGTGTTTCTGAAATGGCAAGTATGTATAAATTCTCATGTATAAGCAAGCAACTTACCTCGTGAATTAAATTCCTTAGGCTATATAAATTATGATGTGAAATTCGGTACCCTTTAGTCATGATGAGGGTGATAATAACTCATTCTTATCAGTGTCTATGAAAAGTTAACAATCACAAGTATTAAACCTGTTAAACAGATGATCACGCCTCGGGTCTCTCAACATCTGTCCTTGGTTTCACGATAAGACGATCATAACTAATAACTGCATTGTCCCTCTTGCTTTAGCTTGCTGTTAAGAGAGCAGCACGTCTGTGGTTCTGAGACGTCTTGTTAAAGACGTGACTATTTCTGAGGTTTTCCTTTACCTTAAGATGCTTTCTTTATGGCACAGAAACTTAACCACAATTGGCCTTGGCATGAACCCTGAATCTCCTATTCCTGTGTGCACATGTGATTTCTATGCTGCTTGCATCCAGATTAAGTTTTGAGAAGAATAGCTCATGGACTCTTGTCTAGGTCTCATCTGCATTATCAGGTTTTAGGCCTTCAATGACCTGGTTGCTCCTCAGAGTTTATTTTTGAATTAGCCAGCAGCCCCAGCAGATAATCTTGAAATATAGGTTCACCAACCATTATAGAAATTGGTTAATAGTTTTCTTTGCTGGGTTTTCCTGACTCTGAGCTATTGCTGAAATTGACGGAAGGGCATCACCAGGTGTGGAGCCTGCGGCTTAATTTGACTCAACACGGGAAACCTCACCCGGCCCGGACACGGAAAGGATCGACAGATTGATACTGTCGTAGCATCAACTTAATAAAACTCTCTCAAGGAACATGCTGACTCAAGATACTGAGGATGTGCAGGCCCAAAGAACTGAATATTTAGTATCTGATAGTTTGATTCATTAGGATGCTACGTACATCACCAGAAGACATCAGCGATAATAGACAATTACTCTGCTGCCACCTTGAGATTCCCTCCACATAAGTCGGTGTAATGCAAAATTGAAAGTCAGATGATGATGACCCACTTCTGCAAAGTGAATTGTGTTGTTTTCACTGTTATAAAAGATGCATTGAGACATTAATCATATATAAAATCATATTACCTCAGAGTATTCAGAGGTAATGGATAGATGCCGACATCACTCAAGAAACATCACATGATTATTGCTTTAATGTCACTTGATTATCAGTAGCTACACTCTGAAGTACGTTCAGAAGGTTTACTTAAAGCGTCCTAGCTTCACCACATCCGACATGCTGATGGTCTACAGATGATGGTCTGTACGAGTCAAGCCAGCTGCCCTTGCTGTACGCTAAAGAGAAGGCCAAAAGTCAGGGGGCAAACTGACAGGGGGGGGGGCAGGTTGTCTCCTATTACTGCAACGGCCGCCTGAACTCAGCCAGACTTCTTATTCCCTTTCCCAATCGGTTTGCTTTCTGTGTAACAACAACACTTGCGCCAAGGCCCTCTCCTTACTCCTCTGCTACTCCGACCTTTAGGCCTATAGCTGCCTGAGAAAAAAAAGTGGGAAGTCAGGTGCTAGCGAGCAAAGAATGGCACACTGAAGCTAGTGGTGTTACTGTTGATCCACCCATGGGACAGCCACCAGGTCCTGGGGGATTAAGCTAAATAAAGAAGCAGTCATCCCTAAAACACTTAGTGTTGGTAACGGGCCATTTGTGTGTTTTTTTCAATTGATTTATTAATTAAACATGTTATGGACCCAGCATCAATATCTGACTGGGTGGGGTTATGTTGTGTCCCATTGAGTGCAGCCACAATATCATAACAGAAAAAATATTATATTCTGTAAATGTAAAAATATAGTTAAAAGAAAGCATTAATACCTGTATTTACAAGAGCACCGCCCAGAGACAGTACATCTGTATTTAGGGGAAATATCTGAACAAAATCACACTTACAGTCCCTGAATTATAGTTGACTCCAACAATGCATTTACTGTTCCTGCATTACAATTGTTAATTTTTCTGATGATCCTTCGCCATCTCTTTACTTTGCCTGTATGCTCTTGCGCTTGTATCTTGCTATATAATTACAATATTACTGATCAATGTGAATAATATATATAAGACATGAAATAATACACTGAAACTAGCCCTGAAACAATTGTAATCACACTGTTGGCGATCAGAATCTTGGCATTCTGGCCAGTGTCGTTGAAACGTCACTTTTGATGGCTCAATAAAATGATATGAAGGCTGAGAGGCATATAGCTCATATTTAATGGCCGCCCTCTGCCAAGGTGGCTAAACCTACTGAATGATTTGTTGTTGCTTGAAAGACTAACTACCCGGTGAAAGTTTATTTGTCATATGAGCATTTGTGTGTTTTTTGTGGTTGTTGCGCTCAGATTTTCAAATATGATGGAATATTGCAACACAGTGTAGTACAGTTGTGTATTTACATGTACCGTTGGAATGAAATAGATTGTGAAATTTACTTGAAATTTACTCGGGAGTAGGAATATGTCAGTAGACCCACGTCTTTATTACAGTAAATTAACACAACGTCAGATAGACCTGCTATCCTGTCACGTAGCGTAAATGTCAAGGATTTTTTCCTGGTGGCACTCGTGAAAACACAAACGTACTCAAACATATGTGAAACAAAGACACCAGAACCTCACATATTTTGTAAATTTAAACACAGCACAAAGGGAAAAGACAAGGCAAAGCAGTAAAACTACTCCAGCATTGCTATCTTTCAAAATGGAAACATTTGCAAAGTACAACCTTGTATTCCTGTTATTGAAAAAAATAAAAAATAAAAATCCTAAACCATGCATCATTTTTTCCTGTCTTCTGATTTTGACATTTATATCTCAAATATGTTGGTAAAATCTGAAAGTAATCACAAAAACATCTGTATTATTGTAAAAAGCAATTGATTTTTATGAACAATAAATATAAAAGAGTGTCCTTAAATGCCACCAACTCATTGCTGGGCTGTGTTTATAAGCTGTCTGTGGTGACGCTGATGACCTGTGGCTGCACTCTGTTTCTGTTACAGCTGAAGAGCCAGGCTGCCCTCCTGTGGCGGTAGCGCTTTGACAGCAGCACATAGAGCACAGGGTTGATACAGGGGTGCAGGTACTGCAGCACAGTACAGATGAAGTAAAACATCTCCCAAGCCTGTCCGTGGCGATACAGCCCCATGTACACGCACAGCTCCAGCACATAACCAGGCAGCCAGCACACTGAGAAGGTAGCAGCAGCCAAGAACACCATGACAGAGGCACGGCGGGTGTTCCTGGCACTGGACACCGTCATTACGGGGCTCTTGTGGAGAAAAAGAGCCAGCCGGACGTAGTTGAAGGCGATGACTAGCATTGGAACAAAGTAGTAAAGTACAAACTGGCTCAGCACCACTTGGTAGTGGTGCTCATGAATGGTTGGAAGGCAGAAGGTGAAGTTGGCCAGGCTCGGGCCCAGGCTTTCTTTTGTGGCAAACATACGCAGCGGCAGGCTGATGAAGAAGCTGAGGGCCCAGACCAAGACAAACATGAGGATGACCAGGTCCATGGTTGGCGGCTGGTACGGGTTGGTGATGATCATGGCGCGGGTCATGGACACGGCACATAGCGAGTAGGTGCTGGCGGCTAGGCTGAAGGCCAGCAGGAACTGGTAGACCTTGCAGGAGGTGTCGCTCAAAGGCCAGGAGTAACTGACGGCGGAGTGCAAGGTGAAGGGGATGAGCAGGAGGGTGAGGAAGTCGGCCAGAGTCATACTGAGCAGGAGGATGTCGAGGCGGTTCTTGCGCAAGGTGTTGTACTTTGCAAACAATGAGAAGACCAGCAGGTTGGCACAGAGCCCAATGCCCAGGATCACTCCACAGGTACAGGCAAAGATCAGCACGTAGGTATTGGGAACAGCCATATTATCACTGACTTGACATCACCTTTCAAATATAAGAACAAAAACAAACATTTATTAATTTATGTTTAACATTAGTTGATTGTCAATATACATTGGCAACTATTTTAAAATCAATTGTTTCAACAAAAACTCCAAACTTTTGCTTTTCCATCTTTTATTTTCTTTGTGATATACGATATTGAACTTAATATTTTTGGTGTTTTGACTATTATTTAAAAAGCAAGACAAAATACATCATATTGGGCTCTGGAAAAAAAGGTTATTTTTTGCTATATTTCTTTGTAGTCAAAACAATCGTTTCCTTGACAAAATATCGTAAAAATAATAATTAATTGTAGCTCTATTTGTATTATGAGTGAGAGAGGAAAGTTACATGTGTGTAACATGTCAGCTTTGTTTCTAGCTTGGCTAAAATGCTAAAGAAATATTCTCTATGTATCATACTGTCACCAAAACACACATGATGCAATATCACCAAAATAAAAGGTACATGGTTTTTACATAGAAACAGTAATATGGTAGTCTGCTAAGATACAAATCTTTATTGAATCAACATTTTGACAGCTACTCTTGTGTAAATATCTAGAACATACGTGTGTCGTACTAAAACGGTAGATGATACAGTTCTCCATCATTTGGGCGCACTCACCATCATCGTTCCAGTGGTATCTTCAGGTTCATGTTTGTGAGTGAGCTATCCTCAAAACGTAAACTTCTGTTTCACTGGTGTCCATCCTGTTAAACTGGACTGACAGAGGGAGAGGTGGCAGCCTCTCAGGACTCATTACAAAGTGTGATAGGTGAATGTGGAGGGTAGGAAGGCAAACATCACTTGGGTCACATTGATTCTGGTTGACTTGGTTTAAAGAGAAACGACGTCAGACCAGCTGCTCAGGAAACGGTGATATACTATGCGTGCCAGTTTTGTTATTGTTATTAGAGTATGTGTATCTGTTAAAGCCTCTTTTGTTTTTGGGGATTTCATTCACACTGTATGAATTATATTTTAAAAAAGTATCACTCTCCAAAGAAAAAGGGACAAATCCATTGATCACGATTACTGTTCCTCCCCTTCTCTGGGGATATTAATGTCTCTCCATTGTTTGATTGATTTCTTCGGCGTGAGCTTCAGGCTCCTGACAGCGGTTTTATCAGGCTTTCCACAGCGTTTATGACTCTGTGTCAGCTAATGGCCTTTGGTGTATACTGCTGCTCTTAGCACAGGATATAGTTGATGCTGATGCATCTGCTAACCCCTCCATTACCAGTGTCTGTGCCATTCAGTCAGCAGCTGTTACAAATGCCACATGTTCTCAAATGGGACATTAACAGCTTCATTGTGCTCTGTCCGCGCCCCAAAAGTGAACAGAAATATTGACATTGATTTTTGCCTTTTGACCCAAATATTGAACTTCCTCTTTATTTCTCTAAACCTCTTAGCAAGGCTAAATGTCATGATGAAATACACAAACCAGGACCTCAACATTTAAAGAGATTCAATGGTTTTCTCAAAGACATTTCAGCTGGACAGATATTTACTGATTGAACTCAGGACCATAGTCATTACATTCCCCTTTTATAACCATTTTTATTTTTAGCCACTTATTCTTCATGAAGAGGCATACAGGTCTCCTCATAATCAACTTAGGATTTTAGGGATAAAATGGGTAACTGACCTACTGACTACATTGTCTGATATGATCGAATACTAAATATTCAGCTTTTGGACTGGACAGTGCAAGCTATTTGAAGAGGTCACATAATGTTCTGTAAAATGATGATGGACAGGCATTTTAATTATTATATAAATAAAGTGATGAATCAAAAATAATCATCAGCCTTAGTCTCCTCCATATCATTGCCAGGTTTTTGAGGTAAAATAAGCAGTTGAATATGTTGCAGATTGATCTAATTTGCAATCAATCTATTGTTGTACTACAACATTTTATGCATATTGCTCTAAGTGACAACAAACCTTGCATTTATGTATTTATGCACGACATGTATTATATATTCACAAACGACAATCTAAGTGATATTTAGCATTTTTGCTTGACTTAAAAATCACTAAAAAGGATCAATCTATAATCTAAATATTTGCTTTTAATAATTGTAGCTCTACTTGTCATTGGTATTCAGTGTTACCAATACACTGATTACCAGTGGCGGGCCGTGCATTTTATACCTGGGCCTTCTGTGCTGTCCTACTGAGCTACGGTTATTTGTTTCTATTGGTGTAATAATACACGTATTCGTATTAAACCGAGGCTGACAAACCGAACAATACGTTTGAATAATACTAGTGCATTTGGAAAATGCAGAAGCTTAAATTGTGGGAAATATAATGTTTTCGGTGGACTGCGCTCACGTAACAGACAACGGGATGTGTGACCTTTTGAACCCGGAACAATAACAAAAAACAGCTGGGGCCGGCCGGCGTTCTGCGTTCTACGTTCGCCGGCTGAGAAATAGAGAAATAGGGGCTGAATCTTTATTATTATTAAATTATTAAATAGCTATAACTTTGTGATTCTGTTTAGGCCAGCAGAGAAGGCTTAGCTGGCCCTGACGGACCACCACTGCTTATTACGATTATGAACTGAAAAGTGTCTGCTCCGTCGCCTACAGCAGAGAGAGTAGCAGGAGTCACATTTCACTTATCACGTGAGAGTTAACCGTCAGGATGATGGTGGAGGATTTGGCGTCAAAGTGAAAAGCAAAACCCTCTGTTTGGCAATATAGTAGTAGCAGAGCAGTAGTGGTAAGAGCTCTACTGATAGTGATCGTCATAGACACATACATTTTCTTGAAAAGAAATCTGGTGTTATCGGTAACACTAGTGAAAATGTCCTTGCAGTGACTTCTCTACCTGTCATAAATCATAAGTGGCACATTTGAGCCACATATGGCTCGTGAACAAAGACGCCGTGAATAGAAAATATTCTAATGGCTACACTTTTAATGTTTGATTAACTGGAAACATGTACAGTATGCCCTCAGTGCATGGTGAAGAACATTAAATGAGTCTGACAGCCCCTGACTTGGGCTTGTTCTATAAAAATAAACTATAGTATGAAATGGTGAGAGTGGATTTGATGAAGCATCCAATAAGTTACAAGTCCGTGGGGGATTTAAGTTTGGAAAGGAAAGCAGGACCATCAGAAAGAAACATCAAAACAGAACTCAACCACAAAAGAACATGTACAGAATATAACTAAAGTGCATTATGGAATTTAGTCAGCAGCACCATGATACATTCACAAAATAAATACACACTTTCAAAGTGAAATAAATTATTGCAGAACAGTTCGAACAGATGTATGCAGTGAACAGTTTCTATGTACAATAACTAAGTTCACAATAGTCAACATAGAGCCAAACACAAGTAAACCATTTTGAAGTTACATAATATTCAGGCAATAAATATTTCCTCCTATGATCTACTCGTGCACACGGTTGGTTAGAGATGACAACACATGGCTTTGTTTTGAAGTCAATCAAAGTTACAGATGCCTACAGATGTTCCAAAATAAATATGGACCTAAGAAGATGTTATGAAGATAATTCACAAAAACTTTGTGATCAAAAATATAAACAGCAAAATATTATCATACAAGCACAAACCCAGGGTGTATAATGAAGTGACTGAGTCAGCCACGAGTAGAGTCTCTCAGATCCCAGTCTGGCTGAACCTATGTCAGTGTCTCAGTGCAGTACCATGCAAAGGCTAGTAGGAGTCTCTAGCCAGGGCACTGCGTCCTTCATGGCTCCTTTGTTGTGGCAGACCGTGCCCGCCTCCGCTTCTTGTCGCTCTCTCTACGTCGGCCTAACCTCGCCTTTTTTTTCCTCTTGGTGGCCACCTTAAGTGGCTGGTCCTTATAGGCCAGAGCCTTGTTGGTCTCCTGGGGCAGGTTAGGGCCCTCTCTGTCCAGCCTGAACCTGTCGGGGAGGTCCTTCGTGGCCCCTGGGGGCTTCTCGTGCAGGGCATTCCCACTGAAGGTTTGGCTCTGGGTTCTGCTCTGCACAGGTGGAGCTCGCTCATCGGCGGTGTGCACCTCTTCCAGCAGCTCCTGCAGCCACATGCGGCGCTTGAACTCCTGCAAGGAGCGGCCCTTGTCATGCATCAGCTGGGCGTGGCTCACTGACCTCTTCCTTATTGCATGAAAATGAAGACACAGAGTGAGAGTCAGATTAACAAGGGAGGTTGCATTACAGCTAATAAATAAATCCTAAAGCTGCATCGTGCCTGAGAGGAGAGCAGTTCACTTTTCCCTAAATCTGTCAGAAATCTTTTTTTTCTGATTTCTCTTAAACCATCTGTGAAACAATTAAACCAGAAGTCCTCATTTCAAAGTTAGCACCAATAAAATCTGACAATTTTCTTTTCTGTATAGATTATTTTGTAATTTCATGATACACCACAGTGTTGAGGTTTTGTGTGGAGCAGTGATAGAAGACGTGGAAGCTGAAATGTGGTCAGGCACCAGGAAACCTCAGTACAGTAGGTGGCAGCATAAACAAGTTTGTTAGAGCCACCACTAATCTGAGCTCCAGACCCCAAAAAGCCAGAGTTGAAAAAGAGAAAACCTCCTGTACCTTAATTAAATATGATTAATCAACTGTCGATGTATTTTCTAATCCAAACAGGAATCTTTCAAAAGTATTGCTTTAGTACTTTTAATTATTAACTCGTCTTCCATTTGAAACCTCCATATTGCCTAACATTTCTATCACATTTCTATTGTCATCAAAATCGATATAAAGGATAACTCACGTTCTGCTACTAAGTGCAGCAACTGGTCTCCCATCAAGAGTCACTGGGGAGCACAGCAAGAACACAGCCAGACTCCACTGATGAAGCATGACTATAGAGCACATCCTGAAGCCCAGGATCTGAAGAACACAAGAAATAGTACATCAGTGACTTCAAGGAATGAAGTGAAACTTTGTTTTATGAACTGTCTACTATCCACAGATTGTCAGAAGCAGTGTAGGCAGCTGGAAAATGACACAGTTCCTGAGTACGGGAGATGTCCAAGGCAGCATTAGTTGTGCCAACAAATAGTTCATTAAAGTAAAAGAGAAACTTAGACTTACATATTTATAGTGAAATCCACAAAAAGGTCAGTCTGCAAGTTATTAAGAGATGAGCTTGTTGCAAAAATTGATTTACAAAGTAAGAAGAAAAATTATTCTTCCAAATACAATCTGGCCAGTTCAAAACGTGTGTCCAGATCGGTGTGCAGGCAGCCTGGGGAAATCCCCCTTCACTCAGCTCCATTCATTTGCCTCCCAACAGGGTGGGTCGAGCTATTTATTTCTCCCCAGCGTCCCAATTGAAAGAGAGATAAAGATGGAAAGAGCAGCAGCAGCAGCAGCCCATCAGCTGCGGAGCTGCCACTCCACCCAGTGTTGCAGTAATCTCATGAAGAGTAATGATGAAGCATCTTCTCTGGTGGCCCGGAGCCGGAGAGCAGAGCAGAGAGAGGGTTTTTTTTTTACAGTCCAGCACTGTGTGAGTCTGTCTGAGAAAGGCACAGTGAGAAAGTCAAACTCCTCTTTGGGTGAAGAAGAAGGCACTACCTTAGCCCCTACCCATTAAGTCCAGTCCTAACACCCTCCCTCTCTCCCTCCCCCCAGACCTTCACACACACACCTGCTGTGACAAGAAGGTGGCACCCATGCAACATCCAAAACGCCCCACAGCACAGAGTATACTTTACACAAGTACATTTTTAATCAATTTCAAATCATTTCAACTAAATAAAGTCCACTAATTATTTAATCATAAAGAGGTCAGAAAATGACAGGTGTGCACCAATGGAGGTAATCATGGGTTACCAAGCAGAGTGTATAAGGGGAGGGGCAGAGTTACTCCAAAGTAAACAGCCAGGCCTGACCACATTCCCAGGGGAGAATGACCATAACCTCAGAGAAACCCAACCCACAGATTCTCACTGCAGACCATTCAATTCACCTCCACTCTGCCTCAGCAAACCAGCTCACCACCGAATGGTTACAGTGGGCTCTGAGGCATCTCTCATATCCAGCTAATAAAAAGAGTGGAGGAGTTTGCATTGAGACAGCCATATACAATCCCAGGTTCACTGTATGTTGTATGTTTAGGTGATGAAACCGGTCTCGAGCATTCAGCAACATTTGTGAATTTACTAAAAATAATAACTACACACATCACAGGTCGGTAGTCTGATGTAAGAGGTAGCTCGTGTGTGGCTAAAATTGTATGTATTTTTAGTAGCACATTGATTGACAGCACTACATGAGTATATGCAGCAAGGGCAGGGCGATTTTTTTAGTTTTTAGTTTTTTTGTAATATCTTGTAATGCTTTACAGTTGAACAGGGAATTCATTTCCTGTTCAACTGTTGGTGAAATTTGAAGTTTTGACATGTTGGTGGCAACAGATGTAATCACTGAATTTATCACAATTCGTGCTGGGGGAACATAAATATATGTATAAAATAGCATGGCAATCTGTCCAACAGTTGTTGAAATATTCAAGTATAAACTGAAGTACTTGACCAACCGACAGACTGAGAGCCATACTGCTATCATGGCTAAAAATGCATTGTCCCATGCAACATCAATTACAGCCTGCAGTGTTTGATCTTAAACATTTTTTCCTTGAACTGACGACCATATTTTGCTCCACTTGTGAAACTTTGTGATCTTGAATCTCACAATTGGCAAATCATTTCCACATCTTTCATGGTAGGTACAATACGAACACGTTGTTCTGGGGTGTGTTCAAAATGATCCCTCCGTAAAATGCAATTGGACTCAAATGAGCGATAACAACAAGACCATGAACATGGGAGTCCCTCAGTTGTGGTTAAAGTTCATTTAGGTCTGGCAGCAGATTGTTCTCAAACCAGTTAAATGTTGCTGTGATTCATTTCTGGGTCATGACCCATCAGTTGAAGAAGGATAGTACAGCCTGTACTTTTGCAAGGAAATTCTGCCTCTGTATAGACTACCATTGTTCTCTTTATTTTACTCAACACCATTTCTTTAGCCATGTTTGTGGTGTGGCTCTAGGGTAAGCAGTGCTGGTCTGGTCCCCCTCTTTGGTCAAGACTGAAATATATCAAGAATCATTTGATGGATCACCTTCACATTGTGTATGGACATTCATGATCCCCAGAGGATGAACCCAACTGGCTTCGGTGATCCTCTGTTGTTGTTTTTTAGTGCCACCAGCAGGTTGACTTTAACTTTTAGCGAAATTTGGGGTCCCTCGGAGGTTGGATCCTGATGAATTTTATGATCTTCTGACTTTTCTTGTAGCGCCATCTACAGGTCAACGATTTCACTTATCCATGAAAATGGTACAATTGGTACAGACATCTCTGGTTCCGAGACGATGTATCAGAATACTTTGGTGAACTTTGTAGGAGACTTTCACCCAGCGCCACTATGAGGTTGACATTTGTTGTTTGGAGTGATATGTCTCTATGTCTATTGCATGGATTACCATAACATTTGATGTCCCTCTCTGGATGATTTATAATAACTTGTGTGATCCCTAAGCACCCCTGTCACCATCAGGTCAAAATGTCTAATACTTTGGTTTCTGATCAAATACAAAACTAAAAAAACTAATGGCATTTCCATCAGCCTCAACTGTACTTTGTGTTTAGTGCCAAAAAATGTTTTTACCATTGATGTTTTAATGCATTTGATGGAATGTTTTTTTCATTTAATATCTTTAAGGTTTTTTAAACTTATGAATTTATGTATTGTTGAATATTTCACTCTTTATTATTTTGATTCTTGTCATGTAATACTTGTAATGTAGTACTGCAACATTTCCAGAGTAGATACACTGTGTGTTAAAATTGTTTGTGAGCTGACTAAAATGAATACAGTCCATTCAAAAATCCGGAGTCATTTATGTGGTTACTGCACCTACTTACACTGTTTTACTGGATGGAATAACTTGCATTTCTCCTCATGAATAAAACCCATAAATTATTTCTGTGAGCAGTGATGATTAGTAGAATCACTTCAGGCTAGACTGTAGACCAGTTGGTGGTAAATTACTTAATAGAGGGCTCAGTATTTTACAAGCAGTCATGATTCAATTCAGCAAGAGGTCCAGAAGGGGTTTTGGGGCAAATATATGGCAGACCCCCCTGCTGTCTCCAAAACTCCGCTTTCTTCTGTTTCCAGCGAGTCTGCCTCAAACTTCGAACACTTTAACATTCGGTAGGGAAAGAAATACCTCATTTGATTCCATTCTGCAAAGACTTTACCTGCAAAAAAATATATAAAAAAGAAAAAATCCCATTTCCTGGCAGACAGCAGTGAAGGGAACAGGAGCCAGGAAAGCTGCTTTTGATTCATGTTAAATTGCACTCTCAACACAGAACAGTATTCCTGTCCGTTTTTCATCCTTTTCACACTGCACCTACTTCACACATACAGAACATATACACACCCACCCTCCCTCCTCTTCCAAGCATCCAGTATCCAGAGAAACACCCTCATTTCATTTATAATTTCAGAGTTTGGCATCTATTTTTGGATGTGTTGTACCCATTCCCTCTTATTGGCCCATCCAATTATGTCATAAATCTTAGCTTTAGTTGCAGCAACAGTTCCTGCTTTTGTTGTGGGGTAAAAGTCAGAGTCACCATGTACTGGGCATGCACGTTAGTCAGTGTTAATTTCCACACAAGTCACATTCTAGTGCTGTCAGCGTTCTCTATTATTTTATTCCTATTTCACAGCACCACTCCCCTTTTTAATTCTCAACACCATTCCAGCTTTCAATGAAATTTGAACATGACGGTAAAGTGAAAAGAATAGACATGTACTCTAAAAACATCCAAAGTCTGTTTGAAGAAATGATTATTCACAGGCGTACGTGTTAAACGTGAACATATATAACACCTTAAATATCATCTGTAACAATATATTTAGCTGCAAAGAACAGAATCCGAGGTTTTTACAGTGTATTTGATAATGGTGCCTTTATGATGCACTCAGGGCTTTGATGGCTTGGCCATTTGTTCGCATGAGAACTTCAGGTTTGTTATCCTGGAAAACCTCACTTGAAAAATGACTTCTGCAGAGTTACTTTCCCCTCATAATGGTTTTTCAACGATGAGTTACTGTACGGGCCGTTTCAGTCATTTCATTTGAGGCATGCTTCATAATGTCATATTGTGGGCAGTTGGAAGAGTTTTTTTTCTTCTAATCATTCACACCTTCCAATCATAACTGTCTTCCCAGAAAAGCTCTTTATTCGTCTTTACCTTCTTCTGGTTCAGCTATTTTCAACAACTCCCCTACTGAGGCAGCAGTTGTTTTTTTTCATAAAAGCTCAGGAGATGAAATGTAAAATTGATACTCTCTGTTTTCTTTTCGGTTGGCGGTTTATTGGTGCTTAAAATGTGTCACATTAAATTTAGACGCTCCACAGTGAAGTGAAATCAGCAGTGGAAGAAAAGAGCTCTTCATCAAACTAACTTCGAGACACAGAAAACACCATGAGGTGCGATTGAAAGCTTAAGAAAAAGCTAGTACGTTTGCAGCTGAGATTTTTGGCTAAACAACATATTTTCCAATAATGTAACTATTTAAACAGTAAAAGAAAATCATGATTACATATTTAACATGTATATTGTGACAATGATTACATGTTTTTATACGTATATAATCGAGCAGCTGGCAACAATGAACGTTTGGCATTTTTGCTCGAAAAAGTATTGAAATTATTCATTGAGTATCAAAATAGTCGCCAATTGATTTTCTGTAGTTCAAATAATCAATCAATAGTCTTAATTGTCTCGGCTTTATAATGTTGAAAGAATTCACAAAGAATCTGTAACCCACTGAAAAGCTCTAAGCTATAGAGAGAACGTATTTCTCACAGTTAAAAACAATAATGTGTTTAGTACAACATTTTACATGTTCACATCCATTATATTGCACTCATTTAAATTTACAAGTTTTGAGTCGATGTTTCCAACAGGAAAAGCAGACTGCCACAATGCACAATGGATAGTTTAGTCAGGATGTCAGAGAAGGGTCACCGCTCCACACTTTAAGAGGCATACATCCTGAACATTACCTAATTCCTGCTCAGGGTTACCCAAACATGCCCTCCTCCGTCACGCATTTACTTGATCTGAAAGTAGCTGCACGATTTGTCTGTTTCTGTTTCTGC